CTCGTTCTTTCTCTTTCTCTCTCCATCTTTTTTATATCTATCTCCCTCTCCTTCCCTCCTTTCCCTTTCCCTCTTGCTAACCTCGCACCCTCCTCCTCCATCTCCTCCGTCTCCCGCTCTTCTCTCTCCTTTTCCCTCTCCCTCCCTTCCCCCCTTTCCTCCCTCCCCCCCCCCCCCCCCTCCCCTTCCGGCATGGGTCACCACCAACTTCCCTTGACTTTGCCACCTCTGAAAATAACCTCTGGGAAGGGAGGGAGAGACGGAGGGAGGGAGAGAGGGTGGCAGGGGAAGGGGAGGGAAGGGGGGGGCTGGGTGGAGGTAAACGCATTGTTTCGAGTTCGATTCCCTGCCTGGCCTTCGCCTGATTTTATAGGCCTACTTTCCACATGCTTTGCCCGTTGGCGGCACGTGGGCTCGCAAACTGGCTCTAAGAGGGAGAAGGGGGGAAGAGAGGGAGAAGGTGAAGGAGAAGGATGGGGGGAGAGAGGGAGAGGGAGAAGAAAGAGAGAGAAATAGATAGAGAGAGAGAAAGTGGCTGAGAAGAGAAGCGAGAGAGGGAGAGGGAGACTAGATGAGACAGGGAAGCAATACACACACACACACATACACACACACACACACACACACACACACACACACACACACACACACACACATATATATTTATTTATTTATTTATTTATTTATTTATTTATTTATTTATTTATTTATGAGAGAGAGAGAGAGAGAGAGAGAGAGAGAGAGAGAGAGAGAGAGAGAGAGAGAGAGAGAGAGAGAGAGAGAGAGAGAGAGGGGGCTCTGACCTTGGAAGGCTGTCATAATGTTCTGCAGTTCGCTCAGCGATGGCGGCTGCGAACTTGGTCAAACGTACACGTCCTCTATACACTGTCTTAAATCTCTACCTTCCCTCCCCCTTCCCCCCCCACCCTCCCTCGCTTGTACACCTTTCTCAGCACCCCCCCCCCCCCGCCCCTCCTTCATTCCCCACCGTCGCTAGGTATCCTGTCGGAGGACGGAAGTGACGTCACAGGAAAGGCGCGCCATTTCTGGCCTCCCGAGTGGTGTATGGCGGCTCGTGTCTACCGAGTCACTGGCTGAGGAATGTGGGCCTGGGAATCCTCATTATATATATACATACATATATGTATACACATATATAAATATATAGATTTTGATATAGATATAGATATATAGATATGTAGATATATATTGCTGAAGTCCGATGGGTGTCTAGAAGAGGATTCCACTTCATTACTGATTTCATTCATCTGTTTTGCTGAGGTGGAGTCCTTTTTTATGGCGTGGGGTGGGCGGCAGTGAGGTCGCGGCGGCGGCCAGGAACCGCCTCCCGGCCGAGGCGGAACTGGCCGGCGGGTCGCGGGCGGCGCCGCATCCTTTGAAATCGCGCCTCGCTTTCTGGGAACCGAGGATCTCCGCTCGCGTTCCAGGACGAGCCTCGCTCCCCCATTATTGGGCGATAAAACACTATTGGAGTAATTCCTTCTTGCCGAGTTCGCGGAAATCGTGCGTTCTTTACGCACGCACGCACACACACACACACACACACACACACACACACACACACACACACACACACACACACACACACACACACACACACACACACACACACACACACACTCGTGTGGGTGAGCAAGTAAAAGCGAGAGCCGCGTGTAGCCTTTCTTCCCCCCCCCCCCTCCGCCGAGCCGTGAGTGAGTCAACGCCCCGGGCTAGCTTGACCTTGAACTATTCTCCGGGGAGGGGACGGGCCCGGGTAGTTCCCTGTGTGTGTGTGTGGAGTTTCCGTCGGCGAAGGCACGCTGAGCGGACGTGTCGTGTGCTCGTTCCTCCCGCAGCTCGCACGGGGCCTTGCCGCTGCCTGCGTCGCCTCCGTCGCCGCTCTGGCTCCGCCGTCGGGGTTTCTCGCTTCCATTGCATACTGAGGCCTGTTTTTTTACGGCCGTAGAGGGAGGAGAGTGTGGTGAATGGTGTTTCAAGGCTCTCTCTCTCCCCTGGTATTGCGGAGTGCAATCGCCCTGACCTCGTGGTTCCGCTGTCAGTGGGAAGAAAGTGTGGGACAGATATCGCCTGAAGTGTAGATAAAGGTGAGCGCTGGGCCTCACCTGCGGGAGTGGGAAGGTGCATTCGTGGACGGTTGAAAGTTAAATATCATTATTTCCCCCTCCCCCAAGGTCTCGTTCGGTTCTTGTGATGGGGAGCGTAGTGGAAGTCTCGCCAAACATCTGTTCTTTTTCATTATCAGTGTTGTGTGCATTATGAAAGGCCATTTCTTGTGATTCTAAACGTGCATATCCTCCTCGACAGGCGACCGCAGCATGATCCCGGATGACTCTGCGGCCGGAGCCATGGACGCAGCCAGGGATCCGGACGTAGGCATGGATGAGTCACTAAAGAAAACGGGATGCCAAGACAACTCGAAGAAAACGGGATGCCAAGACAATCCAGGGAAAACGGGAAGCGAGGAGGAGCAGGATATTAACGATAACCACACTAAACTGGGAGACTCGGACGCGCTGGCGAATGGGGAAGTACAAAGCAAAGAAAGAGAGGAAGTCAAAGATAATAGCAAAGAGTTGTGCGAGGAGTCGAGTACTAGAAAAGATGAGGGTGTGGAAGAGAGTGATAATAAGATGGACACTGAAGAGGCAGACGATTCTCAAGTGGACGTAGAGGGAAGTGAAGACGAGGGGAAAGAGTCCAGTGAAGATGACGAGGACAAGTTAGTGATAAGTGAAGGGAATGAGAGAGGGACCGAGGAGTCGAACGACGAGAACAGCAAGGGAGGTAAGGATTGCGTGGTTTGGTTTTCTTTTGTGATGGGATCTTTTTATATTTAAGTAGGCCTTGCAGGAGGATTTGTGTTTGTGTTCAATCTGTTTTCATTATTTGATATTTTTCATTATTATTGTTTCTTGTTATTATGACCATTGTTATTGTTTTTTGTTATTGTTTTTGCTATGATTATTCTTCACTTAATGATACATCCTTTTTTTCTAATACTCCTGTAGTCATTAGTGTTATTAATATGAATGGCATTGTTGTTATTAGAACATTTATTAGCAGTACCATTAGTGCTAAAAGCTCCCTAGGAGTCGGCTCTGCGGAAAATTGATAGGCTGGAGTCTCAGCGGACAGGGAGACGTTCACATGCATTCCAGGCTTAATCAAGTTCATCTATCATGGATTCTCTTCAGATTTTTCCATTTTTAGCGCCATTTACTTGAGTATCTCGTGATGCAGCTTTAATGATGACGATCCACATATGGTGATTTAATGCTTGTGGAATTTGTTTTATGTCCAGCAGTAGCATTTGTCAATTTTGTTTTTGTTTAGAATCATTGTTGTTCCCTCTGTATTTTTTAAAATATATTTACATTCATAAATCGTATTTCTATTTCTATTTTTTTATTTTTTATTTTAGTCTTAATTTTAATAATTTTGGAAATTATTTTTTATGGTTTATATTTCCTGTTTTTGTCATTTTTATTGCTCTTATACTGTTTATTTTTTTTTTATGATTAATATTAATATTATTATCATTATTAATATTAATATTGAATTGATATTGATATTGATAATATTGACAATAATACTTTTATTATTGTTATCAATATTATTATGTCTGATTTATTTTTTATTATTGTTTGATTTTTATTATTTCTATTATTTTCATTATTTTCAGTATTCTAAATTTTGTTATTTTTATTATTACTGTTATTACTGTTATTATTTTTTATTTCATTATTAACATTCCTGTTATTATTGTTATTATAATCATTGTTGTAAATACAATAATGATAATGATAATTATATTGTAGTATTATGATATAATAATAATGATAATGATATAATATATATGATGATAACATAATCATAATAATGATAATGATAGTAATGATATATTATATAATATATAATATGATGATAATAATAATGATAATGATAATAATAATATAATGGTAATAGTATAATAATACAATAATAATATAATGATCATAATAATAATGTTGATATTTTAACCCATTCACCCCATGGATTAGATGCCTCTGTGATACATGTTTATTTATTGTATTTACACATAGATGGCTCCACAAGTTCTTAATTACCAAATAGCCAGTTATCAACAACTACCTATTTCACCTGTTTACCCTTTTCCTTCACTTTAGGAAAGGGTTTTTTGTATCATTTCATTGTCTAAAATATTCTTATGACAATTTAATAATCATGACATCAGTAACAATAATAACAGTATCGATAGCAATGGTGTTAATTTTCCCGCCAATTCAATGAATGGAAAATCAGGATCGGTAATTAGGGCCTACTGATAGACTCCTTGCCGGCTGAGCATTTATGGAGCCATCTATATGTAATAAAATTCACCTAAAACTACAGGGGACAGAACATAAATCCGCAGTGAATGGGTTGATAATAGTGATGATATAATAATAATACTATTATAAGAATCGTATCAATAATAATAGCCATAACAATATTAATAATGGTTACAATAATATTAATATCTGTTTCTGGTTCAAATTTCTTAACATTATAGTAACCAGTTTCAAAGACCTTCTTTTTATACAATGTACAATCTTATAAATGGAATTTGATTCTTAATAGAATATTGAACCTTTGATTATATTCTCATATTGTCAACTGTGGAGAGTTTTGAGGAAGGGATAGGGAAAGCAGAAGTTGTGTATTAGATTATGAATACAGATGTATGTATGCATGTATGTATTTATATATGTATGTATGCATGCAATTATTTATGTATGTATGTGTATATTTAGATTATGAATATAGATGTATTTGTGTATATATATTTAGATTATGAAAACAGATATATGTATGTATTTAATGTATGTATATATATGTATGTATGTGTATCCATTACTATGGGTATCTATATTTGCTTTTGTAGAGCTTATATTTAAGCATTTCAATGTTTGTTCGTAACTGTTCAGGCAAGTGAA